GCCTCCAAAAACTGACAATCAAATACATGTAACACAATCGATTTCATGGGTGATCAATCCACGACGAAAACCGGCATGATATTCAACTCTAGTCAGTCAAAAAAAGGACCTCAATGGCCAATATTTCGACTAATACCAGGGTACCCCTAATGTGGCTCCTGCTGATTGAGCATTTGTCTTCTACAGGGTCAGATTTGAAGTAAACAATATATTATTTAATGGCTTTTATTTTAAAATCTGAATAATGTATAAACCACTTTTCTTTCGAATTTAAATATATTTGAGCATAAAGAAGGTCTTTGATTGACCGAAATGGACGGAATGTCACTAATTATATATTTAACTGATTAAAAGAACGTATAAGCCATTAATGATAAGGTTTCAAGGATTTATGGGTGTACGTTTATGAGCAAAGCAAATTCTTGGATTTGAAGTTTTTTTTCCCTTTTCTTTCCAGAGAAGCTTGCATTCTAACGAGCCGCTTGTGTGGATGCAAATCACAAGGCGAAGTACTTTCGAAATTACTTTGTTATGTCAGCAAGCCGTTTTTTCATCAGTTAACTCTTCCCAGAAATCTTTTAGGCCTCATTTTATGATTTTCAAGTGTATGTTGGTGATGTGCCTACGCTCTGTAACTAGAGAGATCTCGGAAGACATATGTGCCCAAAAACGTTTTTCTGCTCATCACCAAGAAAACCCTAGAAACTGTTTGCTGAACCTTGTTGGAATGCATCCGATAATACAAGTCTGTCAGTGGAAACTTCGAATTTGCAATGCAAATACACGTCTACCCGTAGACCCGTTACGTCTCTATCCGTTCATGGTTTATAGTTTTCAGTTTACAGCTTTTCTTCATATCAGGTGTATATACAGTCGAAACCAGGAACATGAAGTCCTGATATGAGTAAATAAAATTAGAATTTGAAGACGTTCGGCAACATAACAGCCGAACCTCCATGTGCGCCGGACCACCTCCCATAAGCGACCACTTATCCAAAACAACAGCATGTTCCCATTTAAAACCTTACAGTTGGAACCTCTCGTAAAGCATGACAACCTTTCGTAAGCGACCGCGAGCACTTTTTATGATGACGGTTTTTGATTTTTGATTTTCGCTCTTTCAAGCGACCGGCAGTTGCTGGTCAGAGTATGAGAAGAAGTTTTAGAAACAACGTGGATTTACATAATATCAGTAACCTAAAAATTGCATGCATGCGGCTTTCCGAAAAGCAGATGTGTCCAGACTTCAGACTTCTCGTAAAGACCGTCTGCAGTTCGATGTCTCGTAAGAGAGCATCTTTCGTATTAAAGCGACAACTAACTCTTCACATTTGTCACCCGGGATGGTCGCTTATTGGAGTTCTGACTGTAGGATCCCTAACAGAAACTGTCCAGGGACGATGAAATGTCCGTTCAATCGCTGATCTAGACTGCAAAACAGTCTACTTTTTTCTCAAATCGGTTAAGCGTAGCCCCGGGAGCGTAGCTTAAGAGTCTCTCTCTCCCCAATCTCTCCGTTTTCAGTCTCGATCCAGTCCTCTCGACTTCTCGCGCTTACTTGAATACGCAAAAACTGGGACTGTTTTGCAGTCTATTGCTGATCTCGCCTATTGGGGAAGTTGGAGGAAAGGGGTGGTATTTTCCTTTTTTTTTTTCTGTTTGGTGGCCAGTGTTTCTGGTTGACAGTAATTTTCTAGGGTTATTAATTTCGGATCAGGAGAGGACGATCGAGCAAAAACTAGGTATTTATCTCCCAAAGCCCGGCTGGTAAGCGATGCCTGCCTGAAGTTTGTCAGTGATTAAAAGTACTGGCGTTCCACACTGAACTAACACCCCAAGATATACCTTGTACCAACAAGCCCGTGAACATAATCACTTACATGCGAAAAACAGGAAGGTTGAATTGTAACAGCCTCCCTAGCCTTCTATTCATTTAACGGTGACCCCTAGTAATGTTGTGAGATGCTGAAAAAGAGTTAGAGTGTACGTAAATGAACGTTCAAATGGATTCACCTGGTGGTTGGATGAGATCAAGTGAGATTATTCTTTTTATTACAGAATATGACGTTGTCTTTAACACACTTAACACCGTCCCGTAAATAAGAGTGAATCAGTAGTCGTTTTAACAAAGTCGACACTTTGTGATGAGGAATTGGAGCAACCCGGAAGCAAAAAGAGTTCAAACAATGGATTGCAGTGATTCTCTTGTAGAAATGAAATTGTTTAATGAGACCTCGCTAGCCAATCATGCAGGAAGAGAACTTATGCTAGCGTTAATCCGGGTCAAGCAGATGGGCTTTCTGGTCATGCATATGGGTTGTGGGTCAATTATAAAGCCAAGACGCGAGACGAGGTAACGATAGATAGAGAGAGTAAAGATACAGAAAATTGGAANTTAATGAGACCTCGCTAGCCAATCATGCAGGAAGAGAACTTATGCTAGCGTTAATCCGGGTCAAGCAGATGGGCTTTCTGGTCATGCATATGGGTTGTGGGTCAATTATAAAGCCAAGACGCGAGACGAGGTAACGATAGATAGAGAGAGTAAAGATACAGAAAATTGGAAAGCGAATAGACAAGATCAAGCCTCTTTTTTGTTGTCGAAGAACTGGCTAGTGAGTGGCTCTCTCTTAGAAGTTCCTTATTCGGGCTTTTCCAATTACAAGTAGTGGTATGGTTGGTTCGTTTAATTCTATAACGGGAGAGGAGGCTTTCGAAGTCATGAACATAAGGGGTACAATTTTGTCCCGTAGTTTTCATGAGTTATGCACGAGACTCAGTCAGTTGGTACAAAACACATTGATGTCATAGATAATACGGTACAGCCATCACAAGAAACAATACGAGGTTTGCGTTCTTTTTGCCCAAGTATAAAAAATTCCCATAGAATGGAACCACGCGTTTTTTTAGAGAGTGCGAGCATACTCTCGGCTCATGGATTTGGCGACGGGATGGGCAAGGGGGAGTTATTGTCACACTCTAACATCCAATAAAGACGGACGGGTTGTTCATTGCATTTCTGGCATTACAACTCAACATCGGAAAAGATAAGCGGGACACAATCACCCTTTCAAGTCACGAATCACACAGTATTTGCAGCATCCTTAAACCTTTATTCCCACTGTGTTTAAAGTATCATACATAGAGTACATGTTGAAGTACTGTCACGACACTACTTGTTAACGTTAATAAATAGTACAGGCGATAGCGCTCTCCTACGCGTGATACTGCAACCAGCGCAAGGAATTTTAGCGCAAACAGCACTTACACGTGATTGATATTACAATAATTTAATTGAAAATTTAGATTACAAAGACTAGACTGGGGCAATAGCCAGCCTCAATTAATTTTAATTTATAATTTTGACACCGAGGTATCATTTCAAGTGTTTCAATATGGAGCACACAAACACGAGAAATAGGCATAATTATCGTACTCGTCCTTCGCCCTTTTACTGGCCCGCAAATGTTCCAAACATCCTATTTACTGATGACCTAGGAGAGGCTTTAAAAAACTCTCCATCGTCGGTGTCCATTTTTATTTTTTCCACGATCAACCGTCGATTCGCAGTGTTTATAAAATGGGAAACCGAATCAGATTTCGATCACCCCTAGGGCTTTTAGAAAGTTGAAGTTTAAGAAAGGATATGCCCCACGTGACCTTCACTACAACAAGCTTCGACTCTGTCCAACGATTCATCAGATACAAGTGTTCGTTTAAATACAATTACAGTACAACCTCTTCCTCATGGGGCCACCATGGAGGCTGAAGAAAGTGACCGTTGTAGAGCGGGTTAAACAAGAGTCAAGGTATGGACTGTCCGCCGAAAAATGTGGCCGTCGTAGAGAGGTGGCCGTCGTCAAGAGGTGGCCGATGTTGGAGGTTCCACTGTAACAGTTTTTATAGAGCTCCATATCCCTACACAACTTCAGTAACTGTCGAGTATAGCTGGGTCAACTATTTCTCTAAATTACATTCTGCCTTTCTTGCAATTCACACTAGCCGTATTCACACTGGAGACGGATTATCCGTCTGAGACGGGTTATCCGTTAGATAATTCGCGTCAGGCAGATAATACGTCTTAATTTGAAAATAGAATGGTCTTAATTGGATGGACAACCCAACTGACGTTACCCATCTGTTGTTCCGTCGATTTGACGGATTTAAAAGATAGATCATCCGTCTCAGACGGATAATCCGTCTCTAGTGTGAAAACGGCCATTATCTCAGACTTATTCGCAGGTTATAACGCACAAAGTTTAATTGAACAACTGTGTGCTTTAAAAAAACATCAGGTATAAGATCAAAAAAAGAAGATGATTCATGGGTAGTAGATGTAGCGGATCGACTACTGATTCAGCAGCTCCAGCCCAAAACATCCAGCGGGAAGGAAGCTCCATGCGCCGGCATAACCAACCCGCCATCATTCCAAACTTGGGCGAAACCAACAGAGTAAAGAAATGAAAAAAATAATGTCGTTGTCCCAAACATGAACCCTATATTGTCAATTTCTCATAAAGCCCATAAATAGAATAAAAATAAATTTCTTATGTGTTCACTGCATTTAACCAAAATAAAGAGGACTAGCACTTGACTGTATCCTTCGTAAAATATGGTAAATTTAACTACAGAGCTTCATTTGTATGTGCAATCCCTTTTCCTTACAAGGAATAACTCAAGAAAAAAAGAAAGTTTTTGCCAGAACACTAACTTCATAAAATTTTACTCCTAACGATCAAAGGAGCTAAGAAAACAAAGAGCAAAAGCGTAATCACTCGCTACCCGAGGGATGTTTATTAGGGTCTTTCCTCTTGAATTTTAACACGTATGTTAAGATTCAAGCAAAGAAGAAATTGTTAAAAAGCCACGTCAAAGCCGGGAAGGACAGCTTTGATATTAGAAGTTATTAGAGTGTGAAATAAAATTCTAAAATATCAATGTAAGTGGAAGAAAAACAAGTAACCTGTAGCATAATATATTAAGAGAAAGCTTTATGATTCTTAAGGTCGACCATATTTTTCCACTATCATCTCATCGTACGATAAATACTTCGGCTTCTCCATTCGATGCCTTGTTGTGGTGCCTTGTTGTGGTGCCTTGAAGGACGGGTGTGTCAGCCATTCATACACTCTGCCACCATAGCGTTCTAACCATTTGATGTTGGCAGCTATACTCTCAAGACTTTGCTGGACAGCCAGCTTGCCGGAGCCTTGGTCAACGTCTGGTCGAGAGAAGAAACCCGACACCTGAAAGCAAAAATGAAATCACAGTTTAAGGCGCTACAAAATATAAGACTGTTCCACGTTTTCAGACTGTGGATACTGCGCAAAGAGATGTGAGAAAGAAAAACAGCAATAGGCTGGCTTTGGGGGTTTCCTCATTACTTCTTTCCCTTTTCTGAGGGTTGTCCAATACTCAATTGAACGCCTGGAACACGCTAGGGGTATACTGGCCCAACTTTTCCAAGTTTTATTTGCTTGTATTTATTTGCATTTGTTACGAATAATGCGTAAACACTTCGAAAATACATAAGATCAATAGCGATGATCGAAACTCTCTTGAACTTAAGATAACAGAGCCGGCACGGGCTAAGAGAAAGAAGAGGAAGCTGTTTGCAAGAGGTTTGCAAATTTTTCTTCCTTTTCATTCGCCGAAAATTCCACCACGTGACCTGCAAATGCACTTTTATGCACTTTTATTTGAGTGTCAATGTATTTAGCACGAAAGTACTAATTGGGGACACTATTTTTTACGTCTCCAATTGGAGACGGGACCGCCATTTTACGTGGTCATCCGAGCCACGCGAAGGTCTAGCCTGTTGCAGGGGAAAGGGAGTACCTTCATTTCTCAGTTATTTTAAGACCCTAAATATTGGTCCGAGCCCGGGAATCAAACCCGCGACCTCCCGCTCTGCAGTCAACACGCTCTACCGACTGAGCTAATCCTTCCGCGGTTAAATAACTGCTCACAAATAATGGTCTGCTCATTCGCAATATCGTCCAACTGTGTTTGGCTGCAAATAACATTCCGCTCTTACGTGAAAAAATTAATGGCAGATCGCTTCGCTTCCCGGAGATATTCATTAAAAACAAACTTGGTGATCGAATGAAAAAACAATTATTGAATTCGGTTATCGCAAAATATTGTGTCAGCGTCTCGCAGATCAATTATTTGCCTCATCCTTCGGCTTCGGCAAATAATTGATCAGCTCGCCACTGACAAATCACCATATTTTGCTCAACCTCGTCCAATAATTGTTAATTATTTGTTGCTCTACCTCGCTGGAGCGAAAGAAAAGCCAAGAAAAGTGATAATCAACGGGAGGATAGACTACGAGCAGTCTTTCTTTAGCAAATGACCACGCGCGTGACTGAAGGCGCGAGACGGGCCGCCCACGTTTCTCGCGTCTCGCGGCTTCGGCGCTCAACGCTCGCGCGCGCGTGCACTCCCCTTACTAAATCTGAAGAAAAAGAGAGATTGCTCGCAGTCTAATGAGAGGATGATTTGGATCAATTTAGGTTTCTGGGAAACTGCCCACCTACTCCTCCCCTGAGCCAAAATTAACACTTAATTCTCGTTTAGGGCAAAATGTTGGCTTAGGGGAGGGGTAGGTGGGCTGTTTCCCCAAAATTTAAATTTATCCGATGATTTTTCAGTCAGTGATACAGTACTCTCAATAGAAGTCGAACTGTTACTAGTCCAGATGCTCTACCACCTAGGCTACAGGAAACTCTTACGAGGTAATGCCCCTAAACGAGGACCATGAGACAAAAGTAAAGATAATTTTTCACCCAAAACAATGGTAACTGTTTGACCTTAAAATTATTACACAACAGCAAACCAATTAACAAACATAAAAATAAAAAAAACTATTGATTCATCGTGGCGGCGTTTGATTAGTTTAGCGAACAAGCAACTCCTTTCCAGCTGAAAAAGCTTCCTTAAAAGGAATTATTTTGCCATAAATATGGAAACAGAAACTGGATTGCCGATTGGATTGGATTGGCCGTTTTCCGAATTTAAAAGCAAACTTGCCTCTTTGCCTTCTGCTGAATCAGTGCTTCTACCTTTCTACATTTGTATAAGCTGGCTCGACTTCAGCACAGCACGAATTGCACGGTTGTAGTACGACTTGGTTTCAGATGTCGAATCTCACTTTTGCGGAAAACAAAACTTAAAAAAAAATAGGCGGTTTAGTGAACTTTTAAAATGCATTCAAAAGTATTTATATTTTATGAATTGAGTTCGGCAAGGCAGTAGCACGACGTTTGAACCAAGTCGTGCTACTGCCGTGCCTAAGTCGAATTTTCTCGATCAACTGCGTTCAGCACGGTAGTAGTACGGCGTTTGAAACAGGCCTTGCTTTCGAAGGAGTTGATTGACGGAACTTTACGATATTTACTTTGCATTGAAAAGGTCAATGTAACTAATATATTCATTTGTACCTGTTCTTTCATTTTCCGGGTGTTGAAATGGGCGGTGTTGGCTTTGATTAATCGACTAAAGTCGAACGATCCCTTACCATATCTGCAAGGTAAATCCGAAAATAATCCAGATTGATAATTACCCTTGGTAAAAATAATAACAAGTCTTCATTAACAATGAAGCTCAACCCCCTTTACAGGCCCCGCCCTACCTCATGAATAGCGCGCCTTTGAAAAAGGAAATGCGTGTACTTCCCCCATTGCTATCTAAGCTGGTCTGAAATGTCGTCCGCCGCCCGCACCCCCCCCCCCCAACCCCACGCCTACCTGTCAAGGAAATTGGGGAGTCAAACATTTCAAAGCCTTTTGGATAAATACTCTTTGCTACTTACTCCTTCCCACTTAAGGCGGCTGAACACAGTTTTGGCAGTTTCTGAGTATAGGTCATTTGCCAAATTGTGGCAAGAGAAAGGTCGCAGCTCACAAGCTGAAACTTGGCAAGTGAAAAATATACTGATGAAAGAGTTTGACTGACAGGTAAAATTTGACGTTTTCGTAGTTTCCATGGCAACGTGAACGATTAAATACAACCTTAAAATTTCACCGTTACTCAGTTTACATAAAATTCGCTCATTAGATTTTCCCATAAACTCGCACACAGCTTACTATAATTAATCATTACCATTTAAAACTTATTTGACCAAATTTTAACAGAGGGGTTTTTAGATAATCACTAACATAATTCTACCGTAATTATTAAATGTGTTACAAAATTCGTCTGTTCAACTTCCATTTTAAAGTTCTCATCATTTAAAATACGATAAAAGTAAACATTTTGCCAAATATCACAAAATTTTATAGCGAAGATTTTGAGAAATCGTCGTCTGTGTACCGTTGCTTTTTTCGCCGCCATGTTTGTTTGTCTAATTTAAAACACGCGCTACCGCTGACCGCCCGCAAAACTGTGTTCAGCCACCTTAAAGATACAAAACTAGGAGATTATCAATGCAACCGTCGTACTGTACACAAATAAAATCTACAAAAAATCAAAAGAATCTAAACGACCCTTAAGAAAACAACCTATCTTAGGTGTGAGAGATCTATGATACAAAACTAGGATATTATCAATGCAACCGTCGTACTGTACACAAATAAAATCTATAAAAAATCCAAAAAATAAACGACCCTTAAGTATGAGAAAACAATCCATCTTGCTTAGGTATGAGAGATCTATGCAGCAGGCCTCTCCTGGCAAAAAAGTAAGGATTTTATGTCACTGAAAAAGAAGGTTAACTTCTTGTTTCTTTCCTTGTAATACTTCTTGCCCTATTCCAAATATGATAAGGAACTCACCTATTAAACAACAACTTGTATTTTGCCTGGACAAAATGCCAAGCTATAAGGCGCCCCTCGGGATTCATTGCAATTGAGTCTATAACAGCCACAGAATCCTGGGAACGAACCTTGTCGTCTTGTAAAGAGTACTCTAGGAGTCTAAGGCATAAATCAAGGAAACATGGCACATGAAAAATTAGACTTTAATACTTTACAAGATTCAGATAACACGAATCAAAGCGGAGGGTAACCAGTGGTAAACTTCGTGCAATCTGGTAGCCTGCTCTCCTCCCCTACCAATATTGTTACAGTCGTCTCCTGATAACTCGAACCCTCGCGAAATCAAACCTAGCGTCAACTCGAACCAAAAGGGTTTTCCCCTGGATTTCCTCAATTTTATCCTCGATAACTCGACACTCCCGCTAACTCGAAGCACTTCACACCACTTCTATATAATGTTATCTTCGATAACTCGAACCATGTTTTGCGCGTGACAGGGAAAAAAACTGTCCACTACAGTACTCTTTGTCTTTTTTATCAAACCAGTTCAAATACAGTTTCCCCCTGAATATCAAACAAGCTTTGTTGCTTAAATCCTTTTGCAAAAGAACATTATATCTCTGCTGCCGTTGAAGTGAAGTGTGTATGATACGTGCATTTCCTTCCCATCCCATTTCCTTCGATTTTCCGTTAATTGCTTCGCACTCCCAAGAACTTTTTTTCGATTTTCCAGGAAGGTTCAAGCTACCAGGAATCCACTGTGTTTCTTACACGACTGAAAATATGCCTGATCGCGCAGTTTTCATACAATATCCCGCCAGACACCTTCAAAAAGGATTTAGCTGTCAATAACAAACTTTATTATATCCACTTTGAAATCACTTGTGATCCCTGCAATCTGATTGGCTCTCAGCAGAGCGATTCATTCACGAATCATGCACAATTTTCTGTCCTTAATCACGTCTGTTCCAAATCGCGTCAGTTATGTTTTAAATTGCATCATTTCTGTTTTCAATCGTGCCATTTTCGCTCTATATTGCATCACTTCTGTTTCAGGTACAAAATGAGATTAAAAGCCTTTTTGTTTCCGCTTTTTAACAAACCGGCTGCTAAGTCAAATAGATAATGGTACTGACAGAATTCTGCGTCTTCAAAATGGCTGTAATAAAGTGGCAATTGAATTTCGTGTCGTGCAATTTTGGTCTGAAATCATACTTGGGCTAAGTGCAGTTATCATTAACGGATACAACATCTTAAAAGTACTTACTTTTGTAAAATCTTCTTGTTTCGAATATTGGTTACTGCGTACATGAGCTTTCGCTTTTCAGATGGAACCGGCTCTTTGAGGAACCTATCAAAGACTTTATTCCATGTCGCTTCATCAGCATCTTTTACGCCGAGCGAGTAAACAGTGCTACGTAAGTTGGGAGTGATCCTGTAATTAAGAAGTTCAAAACGACATGAGGTTTTAACAATTTACGTATAAAACTGCAACACTCATTGCCATCTAGTCCTGCAAAGACAACGACACATTTTCACTTAGTGTTGTCTTAAACTACAATCATTATGCATTAGTGTCACTACTACTACGCTCTCTTTTTTGAAAATGCTTAAGTGTAAATTATTGAATTGGGCTTTCGCACGATTTATAGCAAGAACCATTAACGGCTTGGGCAAATTTCAGCATGATTAGGGACTGGTCAAAAAGTATAGGGTGGGGGCCAGAGC